TTGTCTCCCCTCAGGAGGCTCCTGGGCAGAGCACTGGGACTGAGGGCAGAGAGCTGCCAAAGGAAGCTCCTTTGCTCGTGCTCCCAGCTCCCCCAGGGCAGGATCTGCAACAGCTGGAAAGCAAAGCAATTCTTTTGCTGTGCAGCTGGAGTCCCTCACTTCCCATGGAAATGCCCTTTGTGGGCTCCGTGCCATGGTGTGTCCCTGCCCCAGCTCAGCTGCAGAACTGTTTTCCCAGCTCTGCACTGTGTGTTGGGTGTGCTCAATCTCTTCTCTCCCTGGAGCCTGTGGGAGTGGCAGCAGTGCTCTTAAATCACATTTTCTTGTGCTTCCCTTGAATTCAGAGTGCCTCCCTGTACTGCTGCCTTTAGCACATGTTCTATTGTCATGCTCAGGTTTTTGTGTTTGTTTCTCCCCTTGTTTATCCTGTGTGAGCTCAGAGCCGTTGGAATGGCTGGGGATGAACCCAAACTGGAATGATGATGTTATTTTCCTTTCCTTTCAGCGTCCTTTGGCCCTGGGGGCTGATATTTGTATGTCTTCTGCAACCAAATACATGAATGGTGAGTGTGAGAGTTCAGCACATGCTTAGGGCAGGGATGGAGGGAGACTGGGAGGGAATTCCTGGCTGGGAGGGTGGGGAGGCCCCTGGATCCCTGGCAGTGCCCAAGGCCAGGTTGGACCCTGGGGCTGGAGCAGCCTGGGGTGGTGGGAGGTGTCCCAGGGGTTTTATTTACACCTGGGGCTGATCCCATTCTTGTCCCCTGTCATTTGCAGGGCACAGTGATGTCCTCATGGGCCTGGTCTCTGTAAACAGGGAAGATCTCTATGAGAGGCTGAAAGTCCTGCAGTACTGTAAGTCCAGACAGGGAATTCCTGACAGGAATCCTGTTCACATCCACAGCTCCTGCTGGGGAGGGTGGGCATGCACACAAGTGGGAAATCAGCCTGGAATGTAAATTAACAGAGCTGGGAAAGCTCAATAGAACAGTCCCATAAAATGAGAGACGTTGATCTCCCCTTCCTGAGCACTCCAGGAGAGCACTGGGGCCCATCCTGAAAGCACTGAGGTGCCACCTGCAGCCTGGGGGGTTTGAACCTCCCTCACCCATCAGGGTGTGCCCAATGCAGAATTTTCCTGCCTCGCATGATTCCAGCAATTTTCCAGCCTCTTCATTGTCAGGAATAAATTCCTGTCCAGGGTTGTGCCCTCTGCACTGAGGGTGCACTGTGCCCAATAAATAATGTAATCCTTGAGGCCTGAGCCTGTTAATTGGCCTCATTAATTGGCTGCCCCATGTGGGAGATGAGGATTGGAGATTGCCTTGGCTGTGTTCCCACTTGTGCCAAGGTCAGCAATGCTGGAGGTGAGGATGTGTTTGGCTGTGCTGAATGCAGAACACCAGTGTTGCTGTGGAATTCTCTGGGATTCTGTGTGATTCTCTGGGATTCTGTTCCCATTCCCACAGCCCTGGGAGCTGTCCCCTCTCCCTTTGACTGCTTCCTCTGCAACCGGGGGCTGAAGACTCTGCACATCAGGATGAAGCTGCACTTCCACAACGGCCTGGCTGTGGCCAAGTTCCTGGAATCCCATCCCAGGGTGGAGAAGGTCATGTACCCAGGTGGGTGAGCAGGGACTGGGGAGCTGTGGTGCCCAGAGATGGGCTGGGTGAGGCTGAGCTGTCCCAGCTCTGCACTGGCATTCACTGGGAATTGTCCCAACTCTCTCCATTCCAGGGCTGCCTTCCCACCCTCAGTACGAGGTGATGAAGAAGCAGTGTGCAGGCTGTCCTGGGATGGTCACCTTCTACATCAAAGGGAAAAAAGAAAATGCCTCTGCCTTTCTCATGAACTTGAAGGTAAAACAAAGTCAATAAAATCACCCTCAGAGGGAGCTGAATCTGCCCTGCTGAGGACAGGGTGCGGTAGCTTTTCTTGCCAAGTCCTTTGGGTGTGTCCCATAAATCCCACTATAAATCAGGGATAATTTGTCCATGGGGTGAATGAGAGGGAACAAAGGGACCCCTCATCCCCGTGGGAGTGTTTGTTTGTTTGTTTGTTTGCTCCCAGGGTGAGGGTGTCCAGCTCAGCTGCTGCTGGCAAAGGCCTTTCTGCAGGGCTGGGCAGCTGGGCTGGTGCAGCTCTGCTGGAACATTGCAGAGTGCCCTCAGGGGGAAAGGCACTGAGGGAGCCCCTGGCTCTGGGAATGCTTGGCTGGGTCCTTGGCCCAGCCTGTGCTGGTGTTTGGCCAGCTGTGCACTCTGCCTGTGCCCAGGAGGTGTTTGTGTCGTGAGCCCACTCCTGTAACGACTCCTCTCCCTTTCTGCCATAGGTGTTTAGCTTGGCTGAGAGTCTGGGCGGCTTCGAGAGCCTGGCAGAGCATCCGTGAGTTCATCCTCCCATCCTCAGAGCCCCAAAAAGCTGCAGAGCACCACAAAATTCCCACAATTTCCCAGCCCCCGGAGCTGTTTTGCTGTTTTGCCTTTAGCTAAACTCAGGGACTGCTGTGCAGCACAGAGCCAGGGGAGATTGCAGAGGGAGGGAATCCTGTGGGAGGGCAGAGATTGAGGAATTTCACTTGGAGGGCTGAGGCACAGTTGGTGTCCATGAAGGCAATCCCAGCAGCTGCAGAGTGCTGGGATGAGGAGCAGCTGGGATGGAGCAATGCCCTGCTCCCTGCTCACACGAGGGGCACGGTCACTGTGTGCCCCCAGCTGCCTCTGGGCCCTGGCAGGGCCTCCTGGGCCTTTTAAACTGCTCAAAACAGTATCTTCATGGAATTGCATCATTTCACTCCAAGCCAGCTTGCTTTTGGAAAAGGTCCATGGAAATGAATGACTGTATTTCAATGTTAAATCATTTCACTTACTGATTTCACAGCAAACCTTGAACCCCTCCAGCAGCTGAAAGGAGCTGGTGCCAGTGACAGCACATGGGGAAATCCCTTCTTGCCTGTGTCCTGTGTAGCTGGAGAGAATAAACCCTCCAGAGTCCTTTGGGCAGTTTGAGAAGGGATCTGAGACACCAGGAATGAAACCAGGAGACTTTATTCTGGAGGTTGCACATTCCCCACGTGCTGAGCCTTCAGAGCTTCTGTAGAATGAAAGAGCAGCTCTGGAAGGAAGAGCAGTAGGAGTTTCTCCTTTGTCACGTCCAGATTTTTAAATATCCACTTCTTGTTAATCATTTGTGTCCTGCACATAGGAGCTGGAGATGCAATTCCCTGACTTGTCAGCGTTCCCAGCATTTCCAGGAGCTGCTGCCAGGGGCTCTCTGCATCTGTGGGGTCACACAGGTGGCACAGAGGAGGTGTCAGATCCTGCTGCATTTCAGGGGTGCTGGCAGGGAACCAGCCAGGCTGGTTTTACCAATCCAAGTCCCAAATTCTTGGGATAAAATGGTTTTTGTCATTTCAGGGCCATCATGACCCACGCCTCAGTGCCTGAGGCGGAAAGGAAAACTCTGGGAATCAGTGACACCTTGATCCGCCTCTCGGTGGGGCTGGAGGATGAGAAGGATTTGCTGGATGACCTGGACCAGGCCCTGGAGGCTGCGGTGAGTGGGGAGTTCCTCTCCAAAAATCATCCCCAGCCAGCCTTTCCCAGGGGCTGAGCCTCAGCTCCTCCCTGGTGGACCCTGGGCTGGGGAGGGAAAGTTTCTGTGTGCAGCCCTGCTCAGGCACAGCTCCCCATGGATTCAGGAGAATCAAATGCTAAATGTGACTTTAATTTATGTAAAGGAGATAAAAATGTGTGGTTGATAGAGGGACAGAGCACACTGACCCCTCCCTTTCCTTCCTGCAGTTTGCATAAACCTTGAGGGTCAAAAAGCACCTTGGAACTGGACATGGCTGTGGACGAGGACACGGAAAACCAAACCCCTCTTGCTTTGCCTCTGGGAATTCCAGCCTGGGTTCCTGGGTCTCTCCCTGCTGCTGTTGGGCTGCTCTCCCTGGCTGTGCAGGGTGTGCTGGGCACAGCCTGGGCTCTGCTGGAGCCAGGAGCTGTGTGGGAGCAGCCATGGGAATGTGATCCCAGTTCTCCCAGCAGAGCTCAGTGTTCCTCCTGCTCCTGCAGGGTTGGGGACACAGGGGCTGCTGCCTTTTGCTGGTCTCGGGTCATTCTCTGCTCACCCATCAGCTCAGCTCAAAAACTTGATGGAGCTCAGATTTATTTTAATTAAGTTAGAAATTTGCCTAAGAGCTTTTTCTTCTCTTGATATTTTATTGAAAAGGAAGTGAAATCAAACACCTGGTAAATAATAACTTTCTAAAGAATAGTCTTAGTCTCTTAAGAAAAAACCATGTGCTGTGGAAATGATTGGAATAATTTTAATTAAAACACACTTTTCCTTTCCTTGCTTATATTCCCGTGTGCACGTGCTCTTTGTGTTCAGAATCAGAGGATGGAGTGCCCCTGGAGCTGTTGGGATTTTCCTGTGGGAAGGCAGGAGGAGAATGGAGCTGAGGGGAGAAAAGGGAATGGAGCTGAGGAGGGAATGGAGCTGAGGCAGGACAATTCTGTACTGGCCACAGCCAAAATAACCTTCATAGCACAGAGGGATTAAACCCTGACTAAAGCCAAGTGAAGGTGTTCCTACCCAGCCCTCCTCATCCCTCAGCATCCCAGACTGGGTTGGGTTGCAATGCACCTCAGAGCCCAGCCAGTGCCACCCCTACACCTCAGGAGCAGCTGTGACATGCGGCGGGGCCAGCTGTCCCAGCACGTTAATGACTGTTAGGTTACGAACTGGGGTCCACGAATTTCTGTAATCACTGTTAATCACAGCAAGGTAATTAACGCCGGTGAAAGTGCTCGGGCCGGGATCCGACCCCGGGCCCTCAGCGTCCCCTCAGCCCGGCCCGCCCAGTGGCGTCACGCGCCGCCTGCGCCCGTCTCGGCCAATCAGCGGCCGCCGGCGGATTCGAACGGCGGGGCGGCGGCGACGGCCGTTGCGCGCACGGCGGGGCCGGCAGGGGGCGCTGCGCTCCCTGCCTGAGGGGCCGCCATGGCCGTGCCGGGACCGGGGCCCGGGCTGGGGCCGTACCGCGCCACGAGGCTGGTGAGCACCGAGCGGGGCTGGGCGGTACCGGGCCGGGCGGGAGCCGGGGGCGCGGCTGATGCGGGGGGAGTGGGGCGCCCGTGGCACCCGTGCGAGCGCCGCGGGGCGGGAGGTGGCTCTGCCCCTCGGGCCTGCTGTCACGACAGAGGGGCGCTTGGGGATGCGCCGTGCCCGCTGCCGCGACACCTGGGTGCCCTGGGACCCCCTGCCTGCTGTCGTGATGGGGCTCAGGGACACCCCCCGCTCGCTGTCGCGACACGTGGCTGCCTGGCGCCTTCTGCCCCGGGTCCGTTTTCTCGGTGTGCGGGTGCGCGGGGCCGCCACACGGGGGCGCCCTGGGCCATCCCGTAGGACGGTGTGAGGGTGCCCCGGCACCCCCCTGCGCTCTGTGGCGACATTGGGTGCGCAGGGACACCCTGTAGGACGATATGTGGGTGCTGTGGCACCCCCCTGCGGTTTGTCGCGACATTGGCTGCGCAGGGACACCCTGTAGGACGATATGTGGGCGCTGTGGCACCCCTCTGCTCTCTGTCGCGATGTGGGTGCCCTGGCACCCCCTGCGCTCTGTCGCGATATTGGCTGCTCAGGGACACTCTGTAGGACGATATGTGGGTGCTGTGGCATCCCCCTGCTCTCTGTCGCGATGTGGGTGCCCTGGCATCCCCCTGCGCTCTGTCGCGACGTTGGGTGCGCACGGACATCCCTACCCTCGCGACGTGGGGGTACCTGGAGACCTCCCCCGCCCTGCCCTCTGTCACATCACGTTGACGCCCCGCTGTCGCGACACGCCGTTGTCGGCGGTGGCTGCAAGCGGCGGTGCCGCTCGGTGTCCCCGCAGTGGAACGAGGTGACGCGCTGCTTCCGGGCCGGGATGCCCGTGCGGCGGCACCGGCAGCGGCTCCGCTCGCACGGCAGCTGCTTCACGGCGGCCGAGGCCGCGGACTGGCTGCACCAGGTGCTCCGCAGCAACAGCAGCTTCGGGCCCGACGTCACCCGGCAGCAGACGGTGCAGCTCCTGCGGAAATTCCTCAAAAACCACGTCATCGAGGACATCAAGGGCCGCTGGGGCGCTGAGAACCTGGAGGACAACGGTGCCCTGTACAGGTACTGAGGCAGAGTTATCCCCTGCTCTCGCAAGTTGGGAGTTTTGGTTTCGTGACAAACGCCATTCACTTGTTTTTAAAGTTTTAAATGTTTAATAGTAATAAAATGGTTATAAAAATAGTAATACAATCAGAGTCATGATAATTTGGATTAGGACAATATGAGACAATAGAACCAAAGAGTTACAGACAGTCCGGGTACCTTTTCTGGGTAGCAAGAGCCCGAAAAAGGACCCACGTTAACAGCGGATTAACCCTTAAAAGCAACAGCCTGTTGCATGTTCATACACCTCATACATGGTGCATAAATTCCATTCAAACACAGGATTCTGTCTGGGCAGTGTCAGCTTCTTCCTCTGAATCCTAACAGTGCCTTCGAGGCAGAAGTAGTTCATTTCTTCTGATAATGGGGCAATAAATTCTCTTTCTCTGAAAGACTGAAGTGTCCTGTGGCTGCTATCTCACTGCGAGTCCTCTCTTTAAAAAAGATAAACATACATAGCATTGTTTCCATTTTAACATTTTTATAACCTAAAACTCCATTTAACACACATTACTTTCTAACACAACACATATAACATTCATTTTAATATTTGGAAAAAGCCAATCATAAAATACATGCATTTTTCACAATTTAAGATGCTTAGATTTGCGAAAAGAGCTTTGTTTGGGTTAAACATCCTAGGTAACAAGTTAATTATCAGCACAGTTTTTCTCCTCTGAGTGTTTTGCTTCCCTTCTGTGTGTGTCCCTGCTTTTGTCCATCCCAGGTCTTTGCTGGAATTCAAACTGCACCCCAGTGCTTTGGAGTGAAGCCAGGGTGTTTTGTAGGAGCTGCCTGCTGGGTTTGCTTCTCTTGGGCCTTTTACACAAAGCCTGAGTGGGAAGCAGAGCCAAGCACTCTGAAATCAAAGGTATTAATGGCCCCACTTCTCACGTTCTGGGCTCAGGCTGTGCCAACATCTTCAGCTGGACTTTGGCATCAGGAAAAACAGCCTAAAGCTGATTTATCATACGATAAACTTAAAAAAATATTTCCTAACAGAGTCACACTGCTATGGAGTCAGAGGTTTTGTTTGTCAAGTCATTTATTTGATTACAGATCAGTTCTGAATGTGTTTGACATCTCTCCCGTTCATTACAGATTCCCTCCAACCTCTCCAGTCAAACCTCTACCAAGCCCACCAAGGGAGAACTTGGAAAACTTCTCTGGAGACAAAGGAAAACTTTTTAAACTGCCCAGCTCATCCAAAAGGGGTTTGAAGAAACAGGAGTTCCTGCAGTCTGTGGTAATAACTTCTGTTCCTCACAGCAGTGCAGTTGGCTTGCATTGTCCTTGGTCTTTAAAATTTAGTGACACTGCTCTGTTGTGGCATCTTCCCTTAAGAAAGAATAGTTTAGACTTAAGGAATTTGGAAATATTAAGAAATAAATTTATAGGAGAGGGATTTTTATTTTGTTTTGGGTTTTCTTTGTTTTGTCTCAGTGCAGAATTATCCCTGCTAAGGATTTTATAGTACTGGGAGGGTTGAAAGGTGAAGTCCTAGAAGTGATCTGCACAGTGTGGCCTTGTTGAAATTTAATTTATTGTTGGGGGACAACTAAAAGGCACAAATAATTTAATTGGTCATCTTTTAGTGTGGCCCTTGATTCAGCTGAGATTGGCGTGCATAAATTCTGAATTTAGGTTCCACTCCTAAAGGAGAATAATTCACATATTAATACATCTGGATTTGAGGTGTTTTTATCTTTTAAATTGCTGATTTTGGTTTGATCAGGAGTTTTTCCCCATTTCTTTTTAGTTTTGTGCTCCATTTCAGTGCTGAGGCTGCAGGTTACCCCCTGGCCCATGTGGAATTTAATGTTCCACAGAGTGCCCTGTTCTTCTGATTCCAATTTTCTGTAATTTTTAATTGCCTTAAGAAGCTCATTTATCTTACAGTACAAACCACTGATTTTCAGGAAAACTTAGCAAGACCAAAAGCTGATGTAGCAGAAGAAAAGAAGGAAGGCACACAGCAAAGGAGGGAAATAACACAGGAATATGTGCAAGAAACATGGAGAAATATCATCCAGATACAGTGAGTGAGGAATTACACACAGCACCTTCTCCTTCAGTGGGAAATGGCCCGAGCAAGCTTTCACCATTTGTTTTTAATTGTTAAAACTACGTTTAAAATTTAATTTGAATTTTTGAAGGGTTTAATTTTTTTCCTGTTGTTTACACAGGTTTTCTAATCTGTTTATTAACTTTGGGTTGCTGCATTTAAGGAATTTGTGATCAGAGGCTGAAATCTATTTTAAACACCTCAGGTGCCCTTCCTTGCTGTTTGTCCCAGGGAAAAGTGTCCCCCTTTGTCCTCCTGGAAGTGAGAAGTTACCAAACAGCACTTTAGCTCACCAGAGTTTTGGAATGGATATGGAAAGAACTTGTTTTCCTTCATCCCTTGCAAATCTTGCTCTCTTCCTCCCCAGTCTGCAGACCATTTTGGGACTGCCCTCGCTGGAGGAGGTTCTGCAGCCAGCCCAGATCATCCCTGAGTTTGTCATGTACAACATGAGCAACACCAGCAAACACGGCATGGTCATCCTGCAGGACAAAGCAGGTGACATTTATTTCCCTAGATTTGCCTAAAAACTCTTTATTTATAAATATTAATTCATCCATTTCACAGTCTGCTGTTTCCACCTTTTCCAAAACCACAGCACAGCTCAGGGACCTTCAATCCCATCCCACCCCTGCCATGGCAGGGACACCTTCCCCTGTCCCAGGCTGCTCCAGCCTGGCCCTGGGCACTGCCAGGGATCCAGGGACAGCCAAAATTCCATCCCAGCCAAAAATTCCTTCCCAATATCCCATCTAACCCTGCCCACCTTCAGCTTGAAATTACTCCCCTTTATCCTCTCAAAATGATATGTGGAGCAGTACTTAAAATCAGTTTTAAATTTAATCTTTTGTGCTTTAGGTGTTATTTAATACATGTGAGCTGTTATTAGTTGTTAATTATTTGGGCTCATGTCTAAATGATGCTTTTATCTGTTTGGATTTCAGAAGACCTCCCTCACTGGGTGCTGTCAGCCATGAAGTGCTTGGCCTACTGTAAGTCACTGAAGAGCTTTTGAGTTCCAGAAACCTCTTTTGAGGGTTGAAAGGGAAATATTTGTGTGTGTGAAATCAGCTGTGATGTTTCAGTTCAGAAACCTGTGGGTGGTTTCCTCTAGTGCAGTTTTTCAGGAGTGAAAGGGACTTTGCTTTTCCAGTCCTTGGCTTTTAGCTGGACCAAAACATTTCCTACACTTCATATTAAACTGGGGAGATCCATTTTCTTTGCTTTGTAAACAATCAGCTCTCAATTAATTAGATGAGTGCCTCTCAAATGAGACCAGAGATAATGAGCTTTTTTATCCATGTGCTGAGCTTCCTTTTGCTCAGGGAGCTTGAACTCCCTGTGGGAGAAGTGGGATCACTGTGCTTTGGAAATGAAGGCACATACTAAGAGTGGGTTATAATTTTGCTGAGGAACCTATGAAGACCACAGATTAATTTTTCTTTATTTATTTTCTTGGTGTGGAACAGAACTGAGCACAGCTCTCTAGTGGCTGCCTGGAATCTCTTACACTGCTTTTGCTTACAAATTGTGCCAAATACAATATTTGTGCATTGCTGATAGGATTCTTTGCTTGTGGAAGAAGAATAAATTTAGGCTGATCTTCAGAAATTTCTTTTCTAGAGGGACTATGGATTTTTGGTGTGAATTTCCTTTCTTCTCCTCTTTTCAGGGCCCAGGAACAAGGACATGAGCCAGGACACCTACAGTGGCTTTGAGCGGGACGTATTCAGAACAGTTGCTGATTATTTTCTCAGTCTTCCTGAGCCATTGCTTACTTTTGAATACTATGAGCTCTTTGTTAATATCTTAGGTATGTATGAGTTTAGAAACAGTCAGAGAAGCTCTGAGTTCAGATCAGCTGGGGGACACAAATGTGATTCAAAGCAGAGCTCGGCCTCCTGATGTGTGTGGGAGCTCCGGTCTGAGGAGGATCATCACTGCTCCATTCTGTATTAGTGTTAATTAAAATGTACTTCTGCCTCATGATTTCCCATTTCAATTGCTGTTTCAGCTCACATTCTAAATATTCAATAACAAGAACTTCAGAAGGTGTGCTTGTTCTGCCTGCTCCTCACTATTGCAGTGTTACCCGTCTTTGTTCTTGCATGCTGGATGCAATGGCCTTGTTAAATTGCTTTGGAACTGAGCTAAAGTCTTCTTAATTAATATCTTAATTAATATCTTGACTTTGTTGTCTGTCTGCCCAGTTAGCAGCTCTCTGAACTGGTTCATTTTCACACCACTTGCACCTTTAACATCTCTTTCATTCCCTGATAGTTTTGTGTGGCTACATCCAAATTCCTGATCTGGGCAGTGGAAATCGTTCTGTCCAAGAGGAGAAATGTGACCCTCAGCCTTCAAAACCTCCTCACTTGAACTCTTTCAAGTCCACTGAGTGTCTTCTCCTAAGCCTGCTCCTCAAAGAGTCTGACAAGAAGGAGAAAGGAGAAGCTTCCAGGAGGTTTTCCTCAGAGGAGCTGAGAGCCCAAAAGCAGCACGGACAGAAATGGCAGCAGCACAAACTGCCACAAGGGAGTGCTGGGAGCCTGATAGGAGGGAGCTGCCAGAACCTTGCAGGACCCGGGAATGCCCAAGAGCCACCTGGAGCGTTTAGGACAAGGTGTTACTCCTTGGAGAGAATTGGAGCTGCTGCTTCAAGTGTGTGTGATAAAGGAGGACGTGCTCCCCTCGGGGCAGGTGTGAGCACCAGCACGAGCAGTGGAGAGCTGCTGGAGGAGCACAGAGGGGCCTCGGTGCTGGAGCTGGGCTGGGGCAGCTCAGGCCCGGCCCAGGGCCTCGGGAGAGCGCCTGGCCCGTGTCCCTGGGCCGAGCAGCTGCGGGGCGGCAGCCGGGGGCCCCCCCTGAGCCTGCTGGGCAGGAGGAGCTCCGGGAGCTGCAGTGCCATCAACAGGCCCAGCGCTGAGATCACAGTGCAGCCCCGGGGGCAGGGCACGGCCATCAGCGTCCAAAGGAGGCTCTGCAGGAGCAGCACCGAGCTGGCAGCACGCTCTGCCCCCCCCTCCCCCTGTGTGCTGCCTGCCACAAGTAAGGGCTCTGCAGCATGCTCTACTGCCTTGTGCTGTGGCCTCACTAACCCTGCTTCCCTCACCTCTGCCACTCTGCTGGGATAGGCACAGAGCATGCGTCTGTGGGGTTTTACAGGAAATCTGCTGGCATTATTGTTTAAGCTGCTGTAGCTCTGCTAACTGTGTGTAGTAACTTTGGAGTAGGAGCTCAATGTGTCAGTGATTGGCCTTTCTGCTCAGGTGAGTGATGGGGACAGGGAATCTGCACAAACCTGCCTGATGGAGATGTCTTTTTCTGTTCTGTAAATCTGTATTTTCTGGGAATAATTAGTGTCACTCCTTAATTGTATTGTGGTCCTAAGTGCACCATAATGGAGGAAGTTGAAGATGACCACACAAACAAAGGCCTGTACATTCTCTGTGTTACAGCTGATTTCTCTGGAACAGAAATAATCACACTGAAAAATAGGAAATCTGTGATACTGAGGTAGAAACATGCTGGAAGCTGGTTCAGATCTTAATGCCAGCTGTCTTTGTGGTTGACTTGTAGATCTGCTGCAGCCTCACCTGGAGAGGGTTGCAGTGGAGGCCCTGCAGATCTGCTGCCTGCTGCTGCCCCCGGCGAGGCGCAGGAAGCTGCAGCTGCTGCTCAGGATGATGAACAGGATCAGTGGCAACGTCGACATGCCGCGGCTGCACGATGCCATGGGCACCAGGTCCCTGGTAAGGGCAGGAAAACTCTTCTTAGAGGGATGCAGAGATTCCTCAGCCTGATTTCCCACCCTGCTGCTCTTTGGAATCCCTGACTGGTTTGGGTTGGGAGGGACCTTAAAGCCCATCTCACTCCAGTTTAATCCTGGTGTGCATTAGGTTGGCTTTGCAGGTTTTAATCACCTCACTTGTCTCCTCCAATTGAGGATTTAGGTTTGGGTTAGAAGTAGGAAGAAATTCTTTATTTAGAGGGTGGTGATGCCCTGGCACAGGTGCCCAGAGCAGCTGTGGCTGTCCCTGGATCCCTGGCAGTGCCCAAGGCCAGGCTGGACAGGGCTGGGAGCAGCTGGGACAGTGGGAGGTGTTCCTGCTCCAACCCAAACCATTCCAGGAACCTATTCTACAGTCCTGTCAAGATGTTCAGTTTTCTATAGGTTAAGCCTTTCTCTGCTACCACCTTTTACAAAATGTATTTTTAATTGAAAGTGCTGTTCAATTCCAAAGAAATGACTTTAATTCAGCTGAGGGAACAATGATGACTTTTCCTCCTTGTGTGACCCTACTTGGAAGTTGGTACAGGGGGATTTGAGCCACTGTGGAGCGGAGAGGAGGGAAATCATCCCCCAGCTTTCTCCACTGCAGCTGTGCTGAACTCTTGCAGCTGATCCAGACGTTCTCCCGCTGTGTCCTGCGCTGTGCAGAGGAGGAGGACCTGGATGAGCTGCTCTCCACACGCCTGCTGTCCTTCCTGATGGACCATCAGCAGGAAATACTCCAGGTCCCAGCTTACCTGCAGCTTGCTGTGCAGGATCACCTCGAGTACATGAGGAAGGCTCAGGTTGGTGCCGTGAGAGCAGTGCAGATTCATTTCTTAATTGCTTCTTCTGAAGTTGGGAAAATTCAAACAACCCCAGGACATTTTGAATGTGTAGATGTTAATTACAATGTTTTGCAGCTTGTGGGTGGGTGCGGGTGTTTATTAGGTACTTCAACAGTACAGAATCAGTTGAGTGCATGCAGAGCCCTTTTTTCTTCCAGTGCAAACAGGAAAAAGAAGAAATTTGTGCCATCTTGCCAACGTATTCCTACTGCAAACAAATCACTCCTCAGGAGTTTGAAGAACAAAAGGTCTCCACCTCACAGGCTGCAGTGGCAGAGCTCCTGGAGAACATCATCAAGGATAAAAACCTCTCTGTGAAGGAGAAAAAGAAAAAGTTAAAACAGGTGAGGTTATTTCATCTGCTTGTGCAGTGCCTTTGTGAGGGAAGGGCTCAGGCACCGGAGCCTGGGGCAGGAGAGGAGCAGAATGTGCTGAGAAATGTTTGTGCTCCAGAGCTGTGAGTGCTTCATGTGCTCTGCTTGGGATTTTAAAGATGGTTTTTAATGCTGCATCCTCTGGAGCCAGGCTGGGACACCTGGGGGTGCTCCCCTGGAGAGGAGAAGGATCCAGGGAGAGCTCAGAGCCCCTGGCAGGGCCTGAAGGGGCTCCAGGAGAGCTGCAGAGGGACTGGGGACAGGGATGGAGGGACAGCACACAGGGAATGGCTTCCAGGGATGGATGGGAGATTGGGAAATGGGAATTGTCCCTGGCAGGGTGGGCAGGCCCTGGCACAGTGCCCACCCTGGATCCCTGGCAGTGCCCAAGGCCAGGTTGGACACTGGGGCTGGAGCACCTGGGACAGTGGGAGGTGTCCCTGCCATGGCAGGGGTGGCACTGGGTGGGATTTAAGGTCCCTTCCAGCCCAAACCACTCCATAATAATGCAGCCTTTGACTGGCAGCAGTGTTCAAACAATGGTGTAAAACCAGGACAAATGGTTCTGCTGGAGCTCCTGCTCTCCATTCAGTGATTCCTGTGGAACTGCAGCCTGGATTCCTGTGCTGCACTGGCCATCCAAGTCACCATTAACATGCCAGAGGTGGGGTTAAATTCAATAGGGGTTAAAAGCAATGATTTTTGGCCTTAGAAGACCAGACTCTCTCTGTTGAGGATCCTGAAACATTCTTTTGGTGGCCTTGGCTTTGTGTTTTGTAACATTTACAGTGCTCAAGATTATCTTGCACTTCTCTGGCCTACCAACACTTGCCTAATAGTAAGGCTAAAACACAGCAGTTCTAGCAGGATTTAATCCTGGAGGGTTTTTCTTTCTTTTGGCAAGTCTTCCTGCCCAATGGAGTAGTTTTGTACTTGTCCTGGAATCTCCTAAGCGAGTCTTGTGACTCCCCTTTGAACAAGCAGCTTTTTAGGACAGCCACACTCGGCTTTGGTGCCCCTCCTGCAGCTCTGACTTCATGTGTGTTGTGGAAACGTTGTGGGCCTCTAAAAGTGAGTCTGGTTTGGTTCATCAAAACTTCTGAATCTAAAGAAGAATGGTGAATTGTAGTTGATAAATGGTCCCAGTACTGGAGGTGCCTCAGCAGTGCCAGCACAGGGATGAGCACTGCCCTGGGCCTGCTGGACACATTCTGCTTGATGGGAAGTGTTGGGAATTCTTGGGAAGAGCCAAATTCACGGCACTTTCTAGAGAGTAAGGTCCCAATTGTGTCAACACCAGAAGTTACGAAAGTGGTTTGGATGCCGTGGGAAGGTTTGGCTCATGTCCAGATGTAGTTACAGTTTTTCATCCCTCCCTGAGGCCTTGCAAGGGAAACAGGCACAGTGTCCAAATCACTGCTCTGGTTCCAGGTGCTTTCATTTCCATGGAATCGGTGGTAAGCTTTCCTGGGAGAAGCCTTGGCTCCCTGTTGGGCAAGGGAGTTTATCCAAGGCGTTCCTGGGAGGCAGCTCTGCAGGCACAGGGTGTGCTGGGCACAGCTGGAGCTGTTGTGGGGTTTCCTCTGGGGTTTTCTCACCCTGGCTGCTGTGTGTGCTGCAGTTCCAGAAGGAATACCCCCAGATCTACGGGAGCAGGTTCCCAAGGACGGAGTCGGAAGCGCAGCTCCTGGAGAACAAACCCACCCTCAAGCAGCCCATGCTGAGCCTCAGGAAACCCAAATTCCGCAGCCTCAGGTACTGATTTCACCCTCCTGAGCCACCTCTCCCTGCCTGGAGTCTGAGGGATTCACCAGAGGAATTGCTGCAGGAGTTTGGTGCTTGCTGTGCTGTGGAAGGAGGAAATGTTTACATGGACACTGTGCTGGAAGGTGCCAAAACACCTTTTTTGGTGCAGATACTTTGGAATAACTTCTAAAAGAAAAATATTTATCTGTTTACAAATTACTACAATATATCGGAGTAGGAAAATGTAAAAATACACATAAAGCTGTTGTTAACCAAGAATTTATATATATTTTTAATGGGAAACTAATGATGTGCCTCTTGTTATAACCTTTAAATGTCTGTCAGGAATTTGTGCCATTTATTGTAGGTTTTACATGTGTGTGTTGTGACTAAGTGCCTTTTCTATTCTCAAAATGTTTGTCTTTAAACAAAGGAGCTTCTATGAGTTCAGAACCAGGAGAGCCAGTTCACCATAAATAAATGATTATCTCACTCCATAAATGCTTCTGTTCACACTCCATAAATGCTTCTGTTCATATCATCTGTAAAACCCTCATCAGCTTTTTGATATTTATTTATATTAAAAGACTTGAAGTGTATTTCTGCATTTTCATGGAAAATTCATTTTGGATCTGTTGGTGAGATTCTCAAAATAGGAGTGATGGATGATCCATGAAGTGAGAACAGAATATACTAATTTTCCCTATTTTTCCCAGAGTTAGGGATTTACCTAATAATTATGATAAGATAAAGGTTCCCCCACAGGAGTTGAAATCTGCAGGAATTTTTGGGAAAGTATAATTAATAATAATAATCTACTGCATGGCTCTGAAATCCCAGACTGGTTTGGGTTGGGAGGGACCTTAAATCCCACCCAGTGCCACCCTGCCATGGCAGGGACACCTCCCACTGTCCCAGCCCCAGTGTCCAGCCTGGCCTCGGGCACTGCCAGGGATCCAGGGGCAGCCACAGCTGCTCTGGGCACCTATGCCAGGGCCTGCCCACTCTCCCAGCCAGAATTCCTTGGTACAGCTGTGATCCTGAGCCTGTCAGTTCTCTCCCCAAAAATACCATTTTTCTCCTTTTTTTTGGAAAGATTTTGTAAATGAGAAACCCGAATGAGCCTCATTTTACCCTGTATTAATGATGCCTTATGTCCTGAGGGTAACTTTGTGCTTTCAGGGCAGGGGCAGCTGTTCCTGCCCTGGAACATCTGTAACCAGCCTCCAGCACTCAGCACCTGCCTGAACTTGCTTCCAGGGCTTCCTACCCCATGCCATGTTGCATAAATGCTTTGTTTATGTAGTGTTCCAGTTAAGTAACTTATTGGGTGAGAAGCTCACATTTCCAGGATTTGGCTTTCAAAGGCCTGCCCTCATTACTCCCAGTTCTTGATCCAGGTTATTTAATGTTCCCTTCTAAGGTTTTGACAGACCTTAGCCAAAATGGGAATAAAAAGAGAAATTATAATTATGGTTCTTCAGTAGAAAGAGTTAATGGGAGGCCTTAATCACGATCTCAGTGCAGTATCCTGGTTTTTCTGTAAGAAGCCTTAAATGAGCCCTTGTCCAAGTGGAAACGCTGCCTTGAAAGGGAACAAGCAAAACCCCAGGGAAAGAGCCAACCCTCATGTGCTGGTTGTGGCATTAATGGAGCAGGGGATGTTTAATGTCTCCTTCTGTCCCTTCATCCCAGTTTGGGTCCCTGGAGCTGTTTCTATATGGAAGCAGCACCTGAATGTATGTGGTGATAAAACACCTTCATCCTCTGCCTGTGGGGACAGCAGGAAACTGGGACCTTGTTCATCTTTGAAATTGCTCTTTACAGCACTGTTGTTTTCATAAATGTTGTTTTCATAACTATTTTAATAAATGAATTAAAAAATAAACCATTCTTACAAGAGGTGGTTCCTGGTGATGAGTCTGGAGGAGACTGAGGGACAGCTCCAATCTCTGCTCCCTGTGACAGGACAGGGAATGGCTGGAGCTGGGCCAGGGGAGGTTTGGGTTGGATTTTGGGAATGTTTCTCATCCAGAGGGTGCTGGCACTGCCCAGGCTCCCCAGGGACTGGGCACGGCCCCGAGGCTGCCAGAGCAGCTCCAGGAGGGTTCAGAGAGCGCTCAGATGGGATTGTTGGGGTGTCTGTGCAGGGCCAGGATCACTGATCGCTGTGGCTCCCTCCAGCTCAGGGGATTCCTTGATGTTTGCCTCTGGCACTCTCTCCTCCCCCGGTGTCTCTGGTGTCACACACTCCGGGGAGGCTCTGGAGGAGCCGGGATGGTCCCTGCCGAGCCGGGATGGTCCCTGCAGAGCCAGGGGCCGCTGCCAGCGCCCGGCACGGCTCCAGCGCTCCGTGCACTCCTCCCTGGGCTTTGCTTCTTTGTAATCACTTCTGCTTGGGAAGAATTTAGGTCTCAGGAAAACCGTGAAAGCCCCTTTTTGTGTGCCCAGCAGGACAAAAGCTCCCAAAGCCCGGGGAGGATTTTGGAGCTGAAAGCCGGCTCTGTTCCCGGGGTGCTCTCATTGGTGGGGGCTGTTTTGGGATGGGGCTGCCCTGGGCAGGGCTCAGCACCCCATAAATACCCAGCCCAGCTCTGGCTCCCTGCTTGGCTCCGGAGCCTCGGGCCCTTCGTCAGGGAGGATGTACAGCCAGTGAGTATCCCCGAGGCTCCTCTCTGTGGGAGCACATCCCACGTGGAGCACTGGCTGGGGCTGGGGGCAGCAGGGTTTGGAGGGGAGGAGAGGTGGGGAGGTCTCCATGTCTCCATCTCACATCCTGTGCCAAGGTGGGGTTCTGGTTTGGGGAAACAGGCTCACCTCCAGGTTCCAGAGGATTGACCAGGACTTGGAGCAGAATAATGGAATCCTGGAATGGTTTGGGTTGGGAGGACCTTAAAGCCACTTTTGCCATGGCAGGATCATCTTCCACTGTTCCAGGTGCTCCAAGCCTTGTCCAGCCTGGCCTTGGGCACTGCCAGGGATCCAGGGGCAGCCACAGCTGCTCTGGGCAGAGTTCACCAGCCTGTGCCTGGTGTGTCTTCATGGGCTTTGCAGCAGATAAAATTGGAACCCAACAAATAATTCTTTGTTTCAGAAAAGAAAAAAAAAAAAAAAAGGCAAAAAAGAAAAAATAAAAAAAGGCTTTTCCAAGAGCTGGGAGATACAAGCTGGATTTTGCTTTCTGGTGATTTGGGTGTCCTGGTTTGTTGGGCTGCAGCATGGGCTGTCCCCTCAGTGTCCCTGTCCCTCCTCACGCTCAGGGCAGTTCTCAGCAGCTGTCTGGAGCCTCAGAGCCTTTCCCCATGGAAAGGTGCTTCTCCTTCCTTCCTCCCCCAAGTTCTTTGCAAGCCATGGATCATCCAGTGCAGAAAGATCCATCCCTCCCTGGGAGGGCTCCCAGCTGTGCCCTTGCTCCGGGCTCACCCAGCTGTGCCCTTCCAGGGTGGAGCATCCTGCTGGAGGCTACAAGAAGCTCTTTGAGACAGTGGAGGAGCTGTCCTCTCCAGTGACTGCCCACGTCACAGGTTGGTCTGGGGCCTCATCTCCTGCTCTCCTTTGCTCCCACAGCTCTGGGGCTGCCAGGGCTTTATGGGCTGGATGTGAAGGAGCTCACAGGGCTGGTGATTTGGGGTAGAGAAAGGTCAGATTGGGTGGGGAGCTCTTTAGACAATACTGAATGTCTTGGTCCACAGCAGGTGTGAAGAAATCAGAGCTTGCAGAGCTCATGTGTTTAAACACTAAGTTTAATTAGAAAGTGAAGTTTTGATTTTCTTGCCATCACAATAAAAATTGCTTGGTCTGATCTGCTGTGCCCATCCCAACGCTGGGTCTCCCACAGGCAGGATTCCCACCTGGCTGCGAGGAAGCCTCCTGAGATGTGGTCCTGGCTTGTTTGAGGTGGGCTCAGAGCCCTTCTACCACCTCTTTGATGGCCAGGCACTGCTGCACAAGTTCGACTTCAAGGAGGGGCACGTCACCTACCACCGAAGGTACGAGCCAGTTTTCCAAGCAAAAGGAATAAATAAGGAAGCATTTGCTTGTCTGAAATGCTGGGAACAGGCTGTGCCTGTGGGAGATCCTGGTTATTTCGAGTCCATGTGGTTATTGGAAGAGCTCTAGCAGTGATATCATTAACCCAGCTCCAGCTGCAATGTGAGGTTGTGGAGAGCTCCAGCTGCAATGTGAGCTTGTGGAGAGCTCCAGCTGCAATGAGAGCTTGTGGAGAGCTCCAGGTGCAATGTGAGCTTGTGGAGAGCTCCAGGTGCAATGTGAGGTTGTGGAGAGCTCCAGGTGCAATGTGAGCTTGTGGAGAGCTCCAGGTGCAATGAGAGCTTGTGGAGAGCTCCAGCTGCAATGTGAGCTTGTGGAGAGCTCCAGCTGCAATGAGAGCTTGTGGAGAGCTCCAGCTGCAATGAGAGCTTGTGGAGAGCTCCAGCTGCAATGAGAGCTTGTGGAGAGCTCCAGGTGCAATGAGAGCTTGTGGAGAGCTCCAGCTGCAATGTGAGCTTGTGGAGAGCTCCAGCTGCAATGTGAGCTTGTGGAGAGCTCCAGCTGCAATGAGAGCTTGTGGAGAGCTCCAGGTGCAATGTGAGGTTGTGCCAGAGCTCTCCCAGGGGTCATCAAAGCAATGTCTGCATTAATTGCACAGCCTGGTGTCCCGTGTAACAGTTTCCCTCCTGGCCCCAGGTTTGTCCGGACCGACGCCTACGTGCGAGCCATGACGGAGAAGAGGATCGTGATAACGGAGTTTGGCACCTACGCCTACCCAGACCCCTGCAAGAACATCTTCTCCAGGTCCCTCGGGTGGTGCACACGCTGCTGGGATGTCCCATGGAGTTTCTGCTTCCCAGGAGCCCCTGACTGCCTGTTGGTTTTCTCTGCTCAGGTTTTTCTCCTACTTCAAAGGTGTGGAGGTGACGGATAACGCCCTGGTGAATGTCTACCCTGTGGGTGAGGATTACTATGCCTGCACTGAGACCAACTTCATCACCAGGATTAACCCAGACACCCTGGAGACCATCAAGCAGGTGAGTCTTTGTCCTGGGAGGACAGAGGAGTGGAGAAGGAAAACTGAAATGAAAGTCATGGAGTCACAGAATGGGTTGGGTTGGCAGGGTTCTTAAAGCCATCCAGTGCCACCAAGAACATCTTCCACTGTCCCCAAGTGTCCAGCCTGGCCTTGGACACTGCCAGGCATCCAGGGGCAGCCTCAGCTGCTCTGGGCACCTGTGCCAGGGCCTGTCCACCCTCACAGACGTTCTTCCCAATATCCACCTAACTCTGCCCTCCTGTCCCTCCATGCCTTGTCCCCAGTCCCTCCCCAGCTCTCCTGGAGCCCCTTTAGGCACTGGGAGGGTCCCCCCTGAACCTTCTCCTCTCCAGGCTGAACACCCCCAGCCCTCCCATGGCAGAGCGGCTCCAGCCCCTGCAGCATCTTCAACTTGTGGTTGGAGTTTGCAAATCAGAGCTCAGTTGCAGACTTTGAGAGGAATTTCCCACATGCAGAGCAAGGATGCATTGACTCACAACACCCTGCAGAGCTTGTGCCTTCCCACCTCACTCCTGACTCTGTCTCCGCTGTTCTCCAGGTGGATCTCTGTAAATATGTGTCTGTCAATGGGGCAACAGCTCATCCCCACATTGAGAATGATGGCACTGTTTACAACATTGGCAATTGCTTTGGGAAAAACTTTGCCCTGGCCTACAACATCATCCGGATTCCCCCTCTGCAGGCAGGTCAGTCAATCCCACCTCAGAGCCAGCTGGGAAACTTTTCCCTTATGAATAATTTCTTTGTCCTTTAAATGAACTTTGTTATCCAGTTAGGCTTTTTCTAAGCTCCTTTAATTTTTATTTTTTTAATGCTGTATTTAAGTCACTTCCAGGTGGCGTTTTAATGACGAATTTTGTGTTAAAGGCAGGAATTTGCTGGGTAGAGGCTGTAAGTGCAGCCCACGTGTGGGTGAGACCTCCATAACCTCTCACCTGTCCCATTCCAGACAAGGAAGACCCCATGAACAAGTCGGAGGTGGTGGTGCAGTTCCCCTGCAGTGACAGGTTCAAGCCCTCCTATGTCCACAGGTAACATTCCATGGGGTCAGCAGGTCAGCTGCAACCAGGGACTAGTTTTCACATGTATTCAGCAATGAAAATTAGGTGATTGACCAAAATCAGGGTCACTTGGAGCAATGATCCACGTGTTTGAGCAGCTCCACGGTTTTTGTCCAAACTGACCCCAGTGAGCCTGATGTGCTCCCCTGCCTTCCCCCACAGCTTTGGGCTGACCCCAAACTACATCGTGTTTGTGGAGACACCGGTGAAAATCAACCTGCTCAAGTTCCTCTCCTCCTGGAGCCTCTGGGGAGCCAACTACATGGATTGCTTCGAGTCCAACGAGACCATGGGGGTAAGCATGGGCTCATCCCAAACTGGGCTGGACTGGGCAGCCAGACCTGGCTCCGGGGGTCCCTCGGCTTCACCTTCATTTCCCTGAGCCTAGGCCCAGCTGCTGTGTGCTTTGCAGGTGTGGCTTCACGTGGCAGAGAAGAAGAAAGGCAGGCTCCTCAACCTCAAGTACCGCACCTCGGCCTTCAACCTCTTCCACCACATCAACACCTACGAGGACAACGGGTTCCTGATCGTGGACCTGTGCACCTGGAAGGGGTGAGGCCAAGGCTCCCTGGGCACCACCACTGCCCCTTGCACCACACACACCCCTCCCTGCCCTGGCACATCCCTGCTGGGGCCTCCGGCACTTCCACCAACCCATTGAACATCTAACACGTGGTGACATGTAGACTACACAGCACTGAGCTCTCCAGAGGTGCAGGGAGCCTGCTTGATGCTCATTTTCCAGGAAAAACATACTTTTATCTGTTATTTACTTTTATCTTTAAGAAATGTTAGTGACTGGTGAAGGGTTGATGCTATTCTGGCTCCTGGGGCTGCAATGAGCAGGGTGTGTGTGAGGCTTGAATGCTGCTCTTCATGTAAACACAGAAATGTGGCACTGAAATGATGAAGCTCAGCCCTGTGTTGGCTGCATACCCAGGATACCCTGAGCTCAGCTGATCCTGGCACAGAATCATAGAATTCCAGACTGCTTTGGGTTGGAAGGGACCATAAACTCATCTTGGTCCAACCCCCAGCATGAGCAAGGTTGCTCCAAGCCCCTTCCCGTGCCTGTGCTGAACACCAGCAGTTGCTGGGTTTTTGTGACAGGGGCTCAGCTCTGCTGAGGAGCTGGACTGGGGCTTCTGTCACTCTGTTTTTTCCCATCCCTGACAGTGTCCAAGGCCAGGTTGGACAGGGCTTGGAGCACTCTGGGACAGTGGAAGGTCTCCCTGCCCATGGCAGGGGATGGGACGAGATAATCATAAGAACCCTCCAACCCAAACCATTCTAGGCTTCTATGAATTTTTGGCAAAACCCACCTACACTTCCCCCACACCTGCAAAGGCCAGCTGTGTTTGTCCGTTTGGTGCAGGTTTGAGTTTGTCTACAACTACCTGTACCTGGCCAACCTTCGGGCCAACTGGGACGAGGTGAAGCGGCAGGCGGAGAAGGCGCCGCAGCCCGAGGCCCGCAGATACGTCCTGCCCCTGAGCATCGACAAGGTACTGCAGGCTGCTCCTCTCCCTGCCAGGCTCCTGCCCCACTTGCTTCAAATTCAACCTTTTCATCAAGAGAGAAAACCTGAAGTATGGGCCTTCAGAGAAACTTTGTATTTCCTTTAGCTGATCGATGTTTTTCTAGTTTATTTATATGGCTGCCCAAGAGAGATTGTGGCTGCTCCATCCCCTGGAAGTGTCCAAGGTTGGGCTGGATGGAGCTCTGAGTAACTGGTCTAGTGGAAGGTGTCCCTGCCCATAGCAAGGAAAATGAGCTGAGCTTTATGGTCCCTTCCAACCCAAACTCTTTGATGACTCCATGTGTTACCGTTCACAGCAGAGCAGTTAATACTGGATCTGCTCAAAGCACAGAAGGGAGCAGCCACAGCCCAAGCACTTGTGGTTAAATCCTCCAGCCCTCGGTGTGAGGTCCCTGGAGCTGCCAGCCTGGCACAGACAGAGCTCTCTGGCTGGCAGCTGCTGGGTTCCTTTCCATGACCCTGCTCATGGTGGCTGCTGGGTGGGCCAAGGGCTGCAGGGGACCGGTCAGCAGAGCCTCTCACGGAGCTCACTGGGCTGTGGATCAAGTGAGAAGTGCAAGCCCACGTGGCAGTGCTTAATGAAACCCCTGAATGCCTCCAGCAGGGAGGGAAGCTGTGTTTAGGCTGAGGATCAGGACAGTTCTTGCAGCACTGCCAAGCACACGGCAGCAGTCGCCTCCTGCCACTCCTGAGGCTCTGCCACACGTCACTGCCTTCCCTGTTCGGTGCTGTTTGCTACAGCTCTGTGCAAATAATCCAAAGCTTTTCTGCAATCTCTTGGGTATTTATTTCTCTTGGTCACAGGCTGACACAGGGAAGAACCTGGTCACCCTGCCCTACACGACGGCCACAGCGACGCTGCGCAGTGACGAGACCATCTGGCTGGAGCCAGAGGTGATTTTCTCAGGGCCACGGCACGGTACGATGCCAGCCCGGCTCCCCCGGGCCACAGCAGCCACGTGCTGCCTGCACACCGTGTCCCCCTAACCCTCAGCATTTATGCACATTTACTTCTCCTTGTAGCCTTTGAGTTCCCCCAGATCAACTACAGGAAGTACGGAGGGAAGCCGTACACGTACACCTACGGGCTGGGGCTGAACCACTTTGTGCCAGACAGGGTAAATATCAGCCAACGGGGGATGGCTTCGATTTGGGGACAGCAAGGAGTATTTCTGAGCTCTGTGGTTGTGTGCTGTCCCCACCTTTAGCTGTGCAAGCTGAACGTGAAAACCAAGGAGACCTGGGTGTGGCAGGAGCCGGATGCGTACCCGTCAGAGCCCATCTTCGTTTCCCACCCGGATGCGCTGGAGGAAGATGATGGTAATGCTGGGGGTGGTGGCATTGGGACTGGGATTGGGATTGAGACTGGGATTGGGATTGGGATTGGGACTGGGATTGGGATTGGGACTGGGATTGGGAAGGGCTGTGCCAGGCTGGCTGCAGGGCTGAGATGGGACTGGTATGAACACTGGTGGGAAATTTCTGAGGAAACACGGGAAAACTAAAAGTATGGTGATAAAATTTTTGGGTTGGGAGGGACCTTAAAACTCATCCCGTTCCACCCCCTGCCATGGGCATGGAAACCTTCTACTGTCCCAGGTTGCTCCAAGCCTTGAACCTGGCCTTGGGCACTTGCAGGGGCAGCCGCAGCTTCCCTGGGCAGCCTGTGCTGTGTCCCTGTCCCTCAGCATGGATGACTCTCCCGGGATTTCTGGTGCCCCGAGTGCCAGGGCTGCTCTTGCCTTGCCCAGCCGGGGTCAGACACAGCCCACACCCGCCTGGGCCACACCCAGCGTGTTCTCACCTTGCAGGGGTGGTGCTGAGCATCGTCATCAGCCCGGGGGCGGGGCCCAAGCCCGCCTTCCTCCTCATCCTCAACGCCAAAGACATGAGCGAGGTGGCCAGGGCCGAGGTGGAGGTGAACATTCCCGTCACATTCCATGGGCTCTTCAAGAGAGCGTGAGCACAAACAGCGACACCTGGCCCGGGCTTCTTCCAGCTCCCACAGGTGCAGCCTCCGTTTACAGGTGACCCAAACTCCTTCCACAGCCCTTTGCATTTGTGGGGCTGCTTAACTCAGATCAAGCAGTTCAGTCTTGTCAATGATTCTTCAAAATGGTTAATCAGGTATTTTTTAAATGCGCCCTTTGGTACCCTTTCCAGTTAAACCACAAGTTGGGGGTGGTGGAGAGGTTCTGTTTATGCAAAATTAAACTTTGTAGCTGCAGCAGAGTGAAAGAAGCTGAAAGAGCAGAGAGTAACCTCAACACTTTTACATGTGGTAACATTGTGTACAACCGGCTCTGTTACATGGTCGAGAATTTTTAGCCTAAACGGAACGATTCTGGATTGAAACACCATCCTGGTCATTGCTGTGGTATCCTCAGAGCAATCCCAGTGGAGTTTTCCACAGCTGCTTTGGGAATCCCAAGAGGGTGGCAGGCAGAGTTTTGTTCTTCACCCAGGCTGCACACTGCACACCTTCCCTTGTGTGTTTGCTCCTTTCCCCTTCTTTTGTCCAAGTGTACTTGATTTCTGGATTTCATGTAAAAACATGGACATGAAAAAATCAAGCAATTGTTACCCCTTGGGCTGACTTTTCTTTCTTAGAGTGCTACAGATGTTCAGCTTAATCCTTCCTTCTCCCAGAATAAACTTTCAGCTGATGTTAAAAGAGGCTATTGTTGAGAATAAAAACTTCCTGCCTGCAGATTTAAAATCAGGGATCCTTGTTTGTCTTCAATTGTTCAACACTTTTATTAATGGTATCAAAGAATTAGAAAACCTTTATACTCAGAGTTCTGGTAGAGGGTTCTGGTTTGAGGGGGCTGCAGTTACATCCTGATGATGGGATGGGGACGGGGAGACACAGCCTGGTACTTCTTCTGTTCCATGATCTCCAAGCACTGGGCAATCACCTAATTATAAACAAAAAACAATATAAACAATGAGCCTCAAACAAAACAAAACCCAACCAGTACAACTCATTAGTTCTGAGCTTATTTTTATTTGTTCCTTCTGTTTGTGGAACACTGAACAAGGTAAAATCAACAGTTCAACTTTCTCTTATTTTCATGTGAGGCTCATAAAGTGGGAATTTCAGGGCTACAGGACTAAAGAAACTTCTTGGTGCTCTCTGTTATCAAAGTTCCCAAAAAATCCATGAAAATATTTACCATCCACATAGTTCCATAAATAGGCACCATATTTAGAAGGGTTGTGGTGTGATTTAACCCCAGCTGAAACCAGGACAGATTGAGATCTTCAAGTAAACAAACTTCAGAAGTGCAGAGAAGATTTTTATTGCTAATAAACAATCTTACAAGGAAAAATAAAAGAACAATGGCAGCAGCTTTCAGAAAGAACCGAATGGAGGGAGGGATTTCTGCCAATTTCAAATAAAAAAAAAGGCAGGGGAGCATCCCAAATGTCCACAGCAAATTTAAAGCAGGAAGAGAAAATTGCAAAAAGCAACATCCCAGGATAAAAGAATGTTTTGGAAACAAAAGGAATTCTGAGGAGCCTGAACTCCAAAGAGTGAAGAAATGGGTAATTATATGGAAAAAAGGGATTCAGATGCAGATTCAAATTATGGCAATTCAAAGGAGAGGCTCAGTGAGGAAATGCTGTGGTCAATTCAAGAGAAGCTTTTTTGATAAACTAATGGAGAAGAGACAGGATGAGAATTACAGAGAGAAATTCCATGGAGTGAGAAGTGGGAGCCCCAGGTCTGGACTCACCACATTGCCAACCCTGAGTGAGTCATGCTCACCCACTGTGAGACTGGAGAATAAAATGGCCTAAAAGGAAAACCCACCTTCCTGGTGTATTGAGGTAAGATGATCCCATCATCCCAGAGCCTGGCAGAGGAGTAAAAGGCACTGCTTTCTTCCTCTAACCTGGAGAGAGCAGAGAACAGGCTTAAAAGCACAACAAAAACACCAGAGCAGTGAAAAATTACAGATGAAAGAGGCAAATCCATCCATCTGAAGAGAATGGGCAGCACCGCTGTTAAAATGAGTCAGAAAGCAGCAAATAACAGAGCTGACCATTCTGCAGTAATGGGAAGTCCCTAACAGAAAGACATTAAACTATGTGGAAATTTAAAATATTTTTGCAGTAGATCCATTTTGTTTCATTAGTCAGGATGTGTTGCTCTGTAAGATGAACAAAAGTAGATAATTGAACAATGAAATCCCTGTCAGGTCGATATTGAATGTCCTTACTTTGCCTTCAGCTGTTTTAGCTCCAGTTCCTCTCCTGTCCAGTCCCCAGCTGGTGGAACTGTGGGGAAATTCTGAGAATCCACAAGACCAACTCTTGCATTGGGCCACAGGAACAGAAAGTTTGGACTGAACGATCTCCCACACTGCAAGGAAAAACCAAAGAACAGAACAAACCCGCTGAGATGAATCATAAAGAGGTGTCTGTGGGATGAAACCACCAAGGGCAAGGCAGGATGGAGCACAGGTGGATTTGTATGAGGACAGACACCCTGTGCTAGGAACCACCACCTCCCCACTGCCTTCAATATTTCTATTTTAATATTTCATTTTCAATTCCAAGCACTTCCATGATTGATTCTTCCACATTTGCTTCTCAGCAATCGCATGCATTGTTGCATTTCTTACTTAAATATGAGTTCAGAGCTCAGTTCCCCAGCTGTGTTTTAGAAATGCAGTGGCACTTGAGCAGTGTGACAGGTGTGTCCCCAAGCCCTGGGCTGGTGCCACTCGTACCATGACGTAGCTGTCACTCCCAAAACAGCCTCCAATGACAATGGTTATTTTGGGAACAGCAGCACAGGCAACTGCAGCCATCATGGAGGCCTGGGCCTTCAGCCTGTTGGAATGAGCCTCTGCCTGGAATAAAACCAGATATTTTAGATCCTTTAAGACTTTATTCTAGATTCCCTCCTCTCCCAACAAACTTGTATTTATAAATTGTTTTATTTATTTATTTACAAATCTGCAGAAACAGATCTGGGAGCTGATGGAGGTTTTACTTTCCTTAGCCCAGGACAAATCCTACTGGGCTTTAATGCCTTCACTTTCAAAAGAGAAATAGCCAATTTTCTAGAGTGCAGAGTAAGCAGAGGAATCAATAAGCATTGTTTCAATGTCAAAAAGCACTGCAAATCCCAAACTTTCCAGCCTGTCTTGCTAACTGAGCTGTATCATTTTATACCAGCATCCAGGCCTGCTTAAAGTTCAAGTGAGAATGTTCTTAAATCTTTCTGTTAGCAAAGTCATTACAAAGCTTCATCAAGAGTGGTTAAAGAAACAGTTTTCCTAACAGTTAATAATTCTGAAAATGTAACTTTAGGCCCCAGAAGAACTAAGAATTGTTGGAAATGCATGGAAGCAAACATGCCTTACCTGTGAGATGCTTGCAGGCCCTGCTGGCTGCGGAGCAGTGTTTTGGAGGAAGAGGATGGGAATTCCCCTCTGGCCACACAGCTGGACAAAGTGGCTGCCCTTGAGAGCAGCATCGTGAGCCAGCTCCCCATTGCTGGCCACTATCCCCACCAAGCGCCTACAGAACAAACATGGACAGTTGGACCCCATGATCTGAGAGGTCCTTTCCAACCTCAGCAATTCCATGATTCTCCCTCTTGAGCCCTAGGAATGGCTGGAGTGGTGTGGGACCTGCTGAGGCCACAAAAGCTGTTGAGAAATGCACGTGCAGCCATTTGGATGGGGAATGTTCCCAGCCATACCCTCCCACATGGCCAAATCCTGTCACCAATGTTGTCCCATAGGCAGCCTTGAATTCCTGGAATCTGCTTCCATCCAGCAGCCGGCTCAGGATCTGCAAACAAATACACAGACTTGACTTTACTCGAGAATTTGAGGTGAAAATAGGAGAGTTCTGCTAAAAGAAATGCTCTGTTCAAACAGCAGCAGGCCTGAGTTAAGCAAGATGAGCACAGAGGGTCTTTGGGTGACTGGCTAAATGCTCAATATGCACAAACCATCCAATTTGTGTTTCGTTTAATTACCAACTGTGTATTTTAAGACAAAGGCCAACTCCAAAATTATTTTAGTTTTACAAAGCACAGCTGTTCCTGTGCATAAAAATGTAAAAAAGCAAAAACCAAACCCCAGTATGTGCAGTTCCAGATTTTGTGCATAAGAAATGTTCGGTTGATATTGCTCATGCTTTTCTCCAACACAGTTAAAAGCTGCCTTCAAAGCTTTCTACAGTCAATTCCCTCAAGTGCAGGGATTTACCACTGGAAAAGGTACTGCATTCACATCCTTGGAGACAAAATCTCATGCAGAACACAAAGGAAACAGCGTGGGCAGCTCTGCATGTCTCTGCTTCAGCTTTAGTTCCATCCCAACCTCAAACAAGTGTGATTTGAGCTGTGTTGTTTTTTCAGTCAATAATTTCACCATTTCTTTTACATTATTTGAATGCTTGGGGGAAAGAAACAAAAAGGCAGGGGAAGGGAAACACAGACATGAAAGGGGTTTATGTTCTCAAGGCAGCCAACACAGTGCAAGACATATAGCAAGCATCCCAACAGTGCAAGGAATCAGCTGGGCAACACTGGCACAATCTGGATTATTTTATCTCCAGCAGGATTTCAGGTACTTAAATGTTTTTATCATAAACATTTAAATATTTCTATAATAAATATAAATTATTTCTTATAAATATTTTAATAATAAAATTAAATATTTTCTATAATCCCACAGAACTGTTGCCATCCTGCTTTATTTCAGGCTTAAGACAGGCTGGCAACAGATGAGGTAATAATTCAGAATAACACCTGGAGCTGTGGGACAGAGCAGAGTGAAGGATGCAGGAATGAAATCCCTGCTCCCTTACCAGTTTGACAGGAAGAGTGTAGCTGTAAGCCAGTGGTGCCAGGCCCAGGAGCTCCTCAGGGCTGTACAAGGGACTGTCAGGCTCCCTGTCCTGCTCTGGCACTGGCTCGCAGTTTAAGGTAGAGACAATATTACGAATGCACTCATAGGCCTCCTTTTCTGAGGGTGCAAAATGGTCACTGCAGCCACTGACTCTAGGAGAGAGAGACATTAATTAGCATTGAATTAACGAGTTCTATATCCTGAGAGAAAAACCAAACTCTAGGAAAAGAGCTGAGAGTCTCCAAATGCCCTGGGGAAATACTGTGTGATTTGTTTCTGTATGAATGAGCTGAAAGCAGTCACTCAGTGGAATTTCTGGGCAGTCCAATCCCAAATTAAATTCACAGTAAGGAGTTGATCTTCCCCATGACTTTTGTGTTTATCTGGATTAAAGAAAGACCTTGGGATTTATTTTTTGCGATGCTGTTGTTGCAGACAATATCAAAAAGGGAAAAGAGGAAAGCAAACTTCAGGAATTATTTCAAACTAAGTGGTTGCAGCCAAGATATAAGGACAGGAATGTATTCCATGTAGCATAATTGGGTTAAATATGTGTATTCTGGAAAATACTTGGAAAAGAGGAGATAGCATCCCTCTTCTGTAGCTGCTCCCTGTGAGGCACAGAGGAAATTACTTGCCTGAAGTCGTTCAAGAAGTATGTGGAACAACAGAGATCCAAATCCAACCCGTCCAGTCCCTGCCTCACCCCATCAATAACCTCATTTTACTTCCATTTGGCTGATTTAACCCAAACCCCTGAACCTGAGAAGGCAAGCCAGTGTAAGCACAGGTTCCACTCTTAGCCCTGCTCTGAAACGCCAATGGC